GTTAGTCCAGGTTTTTAGAGAGAACCAATGTCAAGTTCTCATCTCTTACTGATGTGCTCAGAGCCTGCTGCCAACTCTTTTTTCTCTAGCAGAAATTTGTTAATAAAGTCAAATGTGGTTATATCTAACACGGTGATTTTAAACTGCGTTGTAATAAAAGCCAGGATTTTTGCACCTATCAAAAATTACCCACAATAACAATCTTTTACCAGCTTTCAAGGGAGGTGGTGAAACATAGTGAGATATGCTGTGATAACATTTGCTCTGTTCACATGGTTTTTGATGTCCAAGGATGTAGATGTATGTCTGTCAAGAGTCTTGTTGTGTAATAATTTGACCTAATTTTAAGTAGAAATTGCCAAGCAGCCAGAACTTTAAATTGGCCAAGTAGCTCATTCCCCTGATTATTTCTTTTTTTTCTTCTTAGAGGTATTTTAGAAATTAGAAGAATTTCCCAAGAAGCATCCGGTTCAACTACCAGTAAACTGTCTGGTTGTCAATTGAAGTGAAGATTTTTTTTCTGGTCTGCTAGGTCAGCAGAGAAAAGTTTTCTTCTCCCTCTTTGTTTTTAGCCGTGTATGTCTGTGGCACAGAACTGAGGCCGGGAACATTTCTGCAGTAGTGTTTGCCTGCAGAAAAAGCCACAGCAGCTGAATATGTCAGAAACAGGATTGTTTTCTTCCCTTTGCAGGAAGGTTGTAGTCATTACCTAATTGCTGATTCAAGGGGGCCTGGCTGTCCTGTCCTGGACAAAACGCTGTTCTCTATGGAAGTGAATGGGTGATCGTCTGCACAAGTGAACATAGGACAGAGCTGGGTGAGATACAGTTGACTCCGATTATTGCTGCTGTGAGGAGCTGAGGACTGTTTTGGTATTGCGTGTGAATTTTAGGGGGATATTAACAGCGCCTTTCAGCCTGGGGTCTAGCCAGCATCTCTAGGCTTAATTTGGGCCGTAGGCTTCCAGTTGCTTCCTCTGGTACGTTCAACTCTGACCTTGTTCACAGCGAACCAAGGTGAAACTGCAATCAGTTGTGTGAAGAGGCAAAACATACACGTTTGATTCTTATCTGTCTGTTCCCCGGCAATGACGCTTGTAATGTTGGTCGTCTTAGAAACACATGTAATACTGGTAATTGCTGTGTTATCAGTTGCTAGGCATGTGTTTGGTGCTTCTCTGCTTCACAGTACTCGTACTTTGATAGTAAGATTATGATTACAGACACATTAATATAGTAGAAAATCAGACTTTAAGATGGGTATGAAACTCAGAGTGCTGTGGGTGGATGAACAACTGCAGTGCTGCTCCCTTTTTGAGACAGTTGAGCTAAAATAATGTAAATTAATTTATAATTTAAAACTCTTCTGTGTTTGTAGAGCACTTGGATGACCAGATACACCCCCCTTTTCCATGTTCAGTTTTGCGGCTTGAATTTTTACTTACTTTGCACTAAGAAGGAGGCTTTATTTTGACACCCACAAGTGAAATATTTCAGAACCACAGAAGCAAGACATGCAACTTTGTTACATGAGATGTTTGTTTCTGCTGGAGTTGCTATGCTGTAGTAGCTGACTCTGAGCTCTGCAGTCGCAGAGCAGTGTACTGGTTTGCAGGTGCTCTCTCTAACAGTGGGGTTTTCTCACCTTTGACTATTAAGGTGTAATTTTAGTTTGCGTTAGAAAATCAAATGTTTTCTGTGTGTTTAAATGTATTAAGAAATAGAACCTTTTGGAATTTTTTCCTGTAAAGACACTGTTTGGTGGTGCACAATCTGTACTGTTAGACGTAATATGGAGGTGGTACTAATCCATATATAGTGTGATCTGGGTTCCTTTTCATTTCTGCTGTTATCAAGCTAACATGCTGTAGACAAACCAGTGTCTGGTGACACTGTAAGTTCTTTGGAGACATCAATGACAGAAAAAAACAAGTATGCTTAATGCTTAGCACCATGAGGCTTGATACCAGTTAAGTAGTTCTAACAAAACGTCAACACAAATAAGTTAATGAAACAAATGAAATCTAAAAGCCTTTCTCTTTGAACAGGGTCCATAAATATACTATTTTTAACACTGCGTAGATGCGGGAGCTGCATGAGGACACTGACACGATCAATGTGATCTAACAAGTGAACCTTTATTTCCGTGTTTCCAGTGCAATTTATAACCCTCGACCACGCCCAATAAATACTGATTGGCTTCATCGCAAATAACAGCCCATAGTCCAACCTGATTGGCCACATTGCGAGTCATGTTCAAGTCACGTTCACAAATGTTCACACCCATCTTCTTCAAGAAATTAAAACTGCGTCATTAATGGCGGCTGTCTCTTCTCCTGCACCTGTAAGATGTTCATGCCCCCTGCACCAGAAGTTGTTTATGCTTTCAGCAGTTCCGGCACGTCCCAGCTCAGATTCTCTGGAAAGGCTGGATTGTTCACATGTCCCTTATTTTGTAAATATCCTTCCACAGTGTAGATCAATTTTGAATACAACCCTTTTACTATTTTGAAGATCCTCCCTTTCTGCTTAAAGTTTATTCTCTCCCTCTTGTATTGATTTTGACCTGGTTTCTAATCCAGAGATGTCAGCATAGCCCCGAGACTGCTGTTCCTGGGGTAATCCTTGGTGCAGATAGCAAGAACAGCATCACACAGACTATGTGCTGCTTTTGTTCCCAGATGGCTTTTTAAAATAGCTCTCTGGAAACTGTAGGGCATTTGATGTGCTCTGAAGTAGTTACAGTGAAGTAGTTGACAGTGTCACCTTTCCTTTATGCTGTTTGCCATTATACGTAGTTAGTCTTTCAAAGACAGTTTGTCGGAATGTACATCTAGCAAAGAAGCATAGTAGAAGAGGAGGTATAAACTATATATTGGACTTCTGTCTACCCTGATCTTTTTTAAGAAAACAGTTGTTTGATTTTTCACTGTTCAGGAGGTAAACCAACATTTTTAAGTGTAACGTAAAATATCAAATACTGGCTTAGGTATCCCATTATTTTTATTTCGTAAAGGTGCTAAGATCCAGGAGGTTCATAAAGCTTTTGAAAACGAATACTTTCGCTAGCAGTGCCTTCTGAGGATTACTGATGCATGTTGTTCCCTTAGAGAAAGGAACCTTGAAAAAATGACAAACAGTTGCTGTGCTTACCTAAGGGGGAAATGGAGGAAGCAAGCTTTGTAAGTTGTCTAGTCACCTGAGGCTCTCCCCTTCTCAACTTGGGCAGCAGGTTACTGGTTTTGCTATGCCCAGAGAAGCAAGCAGAAGTTTCAAGCATAAGAAACCTGGTTTTATTTTGCAACCTTTGAAGTTAGAAAATCTGTATTAAGGAAATTTGATGGTGGACATTCCTCTTGCTTTGCTGTCCTCTTCCCTTTTCTCCACGTGGTTTTTGAGCTCTGAGTTATTGGTGCTTTCCTGCTACCCAAGCCTTCCCTCTAAGTTTGTTGGTGCAAGTGATGCTGTAGTCATCAAACCTTGGCAGCTAATGCTGACTGGAAGAAGCATTCTAGCTGGAGTCCCTCCCAATGCCAGCAGAAATGTTTGTGGAGCTCTGCAGTGAACCGGTCTGGTTGTTAACTTCGGCTGATGACTTTGTTTCTGTGCAAGTTAGTTTTTGTTTGGATCCGCTCTTCAGTGTGATTTGCAACAGCCAGCCATGCTGTGCTTGTGCGTGAGAAGGGGTGGTGCAGCAGTGAGAGCAGGCAGTCCGTGGCAAGGAGAAGGGCAGCACCGCTTCGGTCAGGAGCTGCGGTGACTTGAGGTAGCTCAAAGTGCACATCAAACCATGTCTTCTGTGCTGTGCAGCAAACTTGTTTGGGTGATGTTACAACGCTGCTTTTCTTGATCCTTTCCTTTTGTTATACGCTTGCAGCCTGAGCACTGTTTGTTTGCAGAACTTCTGAGATACTATTTGGAGACTAAGCTGTGATCTCCAAACCGAAAAGCAAATAGCAGCACAGTCCAGCCCCCAAAAGTGAATGTGAATTTGGTTTTGATGTGCAATAGATTCAACTTCTGAGTTTCCAGAACTCCATATGCATGCCTAGGTGTGAATTATTTCTAGAAGAATATTCTCATTAGGATTTGAATTTTCTGGGTTTAGTGGGCTCCAAAGATGTGTCCCATGTTGGCCATTTTAATTCAGTCTGGGCTGTTGGTGGAACTGGAAGTTACTGCCTCCTGATGGTGTTTACTGGTCTGGATGAAATGTGACAAGTGACTTTTGTTCTGGTTTCCAGTTTTGGAGTGTTGCTAAATGATAAAAGCCCCTTGTCAGTTTTCAAACTACACAGCATCGATTTAGTGACAAAGTAGGAAAAAGCCACATACTCACATTGCTCTTTTTGTGCTGAAGCATGCGTGGGTGAATGTGGGGAAAATGTGTTAAGCAACAGGATATTTTACTGAGTGTCCTGGTTTTGTACTGATAAAAGAAGTTGCCAGAAAGATGACACTGAAGATGCCATTTGTCTTTGAAACGTGTTCCAAGCTGTGAAACCTTGCAGTGGGGAGGAAGAATAGAGGAGAGAAAAGAACATTTCTAATGCCTTAGAATTCATTTTGCATCAACTTTGGCTAGATGCTGTAGCTGTGACTTGCTTTCTTGTTGAGCTGCCTGGAGCAAATCATTCATGTAATTTGTTTGCAAAATACTCAAGTCTTCAGTTAGCCCTTGTCGTTTATTACATAGTGCTTGTGTGTGAAAACCACGTCTAGTGCAATGATACAGCTAGTGGGAAGTTTGGTTGAGCTGAGGAATTCTATATAATGTTGTGAAATATTTGGACCTGCCCCCACCAAATTATTTATTTAATTTTTTAGATTCTAGATAGAGATTGCTGTGTTCCATATTACTTTAGGAGGTCAGGAGAAAGATACTGTCATCGTGAAATAAGAGTGCCAGCACAAGTAGCTAGTTGAGAAGAGCTGGTTAGGAATAACTCCCTGCTCAGACAAGTCTACATTTCAGTGAAAGTTTGATGCCCTTATTTTAAGGAAGTCTCCTGTTAAAGTGATAGTGGCAGTTTACAGCTCACTGTGCTGTATTGAAGTGTTCACATCAATAGCAAAGGAAATGATACCGTGCGTGATGTTCTCCACAGGTGCCGAAGAAGTCTTGCTGCTTGCTAGAAGGACTGACTTGAGGAGGATTTCCCTGGACATGCCGGATTTCACTGACATTATTCTGCAGATAGACAATATCAGACACGCAATTGCTATAGACTACGATCCTGTGGAAGGCTACATCTACTGGACTGATGATGATGTCCGGGCAATTCGTCGGGCCTACCTTGATGGCTCTGGTGCACAGACTCTGGTAACCACAGAAATCAACCATCCGGATGGTATTGCTGTGGATTGGGTGGCGAGGAACCTGTACTGGACTGATACTGGGACAGACCGCATTGAAGTGACCCGGTTGAATGGGACATCAAGAAAGATCCTTATCTCAGAAAACCTAGATGAACCTCGAGCAATAGTGCTCAATCCTGTAATGGGGTAAGTTTTGTGTTTATTAATAGCCTTGTGATAGGTCTTTGGATCCAGTTTATGGTCTCCTGAAACTGAAAATCTGCAAATTGCAACATGTTGTGTGTATTATTTGTCCGATGTTCTGGAAATAACTGGCTTTCCCTTGCTTGATCCCTTTAATACTGTGTATATAAAAGGTGACTTCTAAATACACTGTTCTTCAGTGGACCTATGCATTGTGTGTTTGGTTGAATTTTATTTTCTCTTCATCTACAGTGTTATGATAACTGAGAGAACTGGGCCACTGCACATTTTCAGTAGTTTAATTTGTTTAATGCTCAAACTCTACATTGCCTTTGTGGATTACAATTCAAGTTGGCTTGTTTGCTGCAGTTGCGGAAGCAGAAAGTTAATAAGTTCTCAAACGCAGGACAGATCTTGACACTTGCTTGTCTTGCATGTTACATGCATTGACTGTTTCCTCTCTTTTTTGTACAGCTATATGTATTGGACGGACTGGGGTGAAAGTCCGAAGATAGAATGTGCTTATTTGGATGGCTCAGAAAGGCGAGTTCTGGTGAATACGTCCCTAGGTTGGCCTAATGGCTTGGCACTGGATCTTGAGAAAGACAAGCTTTACTGGGGAGATGCAAAAACAGATAAAATTGAGGTGAGTAATAGAGCCATACTGGGGTGCTTTCCTTGAAAACAAATGCTGTTCTCATGTGGTGCGTTATGTCTTGGATACATTTGTCCATTTTTTGAGGAGTATGTTGTTTTATTAATATTAACATGATATTTAGCATAGCAAGACTTATTTGAGAAGAAAAGAAAGACATTCATGTGGTTCAGAAAACTTTTGCAAGAAATGTTTGTTACGTCTACATTGCTACAAGTGCAATTTAGTTACTTGAAATCTCAAGTTTTACCTGAGGCTTTTGCAGCAAATTGGGACACTCAAGTACAACATCTTTAACAGATGTTTTGACTTATCTATGATGCTTGAAACTAGTACCTAAAGTTGCTGCATGCGAAAGACTTGATGCAAAGTTCGTGTACAGGAGAAGGTGGATGTGTAGGCCCTAGAGAGGTGTATTTCAGGACCGTAATGATTATGTCGTGTCCAGATGCATGGACAAGAAGGAAATTTTAATGTATCACCTGCTTTGAAAACAATGTAGACATTCTACATCTGAATTTGAGGAGGGGAAATCCTTTTCACAATGTTGTATAAATATTTATGACAATAGTTAGTATTTCTTAATTGTCGAAAGAACGTCTGATAGAAGACGATGTGATTCCTTTGTGTCCCCCTTTCTTTGGGAAGAATTTTCTTAAAAATGCAAAGAATTCGTCCTCTCCTAGCTATTGCTCAAACACTAGACAAAGGTGGACAAATTACCTGCTCCTTTGTTATGTGCTCTCAGAAGTTAGGTAGTGAAGTGTCGTTGGAAATTCACTGCTTTGAATTTAAAAGATGGTCAAAGCAGGCATCTGTACTGGTCTAGTCATGGACATCGGCAGTTGCACCGGGGAGGCTCAAGGTCTTTCAAGAGCCATTCTTCTAAAGGACATGCGTTTTTTCCCACTGTTTTTGCATAAGTATCCCATGATTAAAGCTTAATCTAACAGAATGATTGTACTGCCACAGAAGTGAAACGAGACTTGGATATTGCTGCAGAGAACTGAATCTCAAAGTAGTTTCACTCAGAGCAGAAGGTGATAAATTAAATAACTGAAAGAGTTAGAAGGAGGGTTTAGGGAAAGGTTTTTTGGGGCTTCTGAGCATGTGTTCGTGAGATTCTGAGGTTTCAGTGAATTATTAGCAACCGTATTCAACTGAGAGGAAATTCAGTAAATTGATAGAACTTGTGATGTAGAAGGGCACATGGCTTTTACGTCATCTAGGAATCCTGATCAACAGCCACTTTATACATTTGTTGTAAATGTGTTCATGGAGTTACTGAAGACCTGTATGTAGTAGCAGGGTAATTTGCACAAATGTGTCCATTTAGTTTGAGACAGCTGAGGATATGGCTAGAGAGTATGGACACAGCCAGGTGTTGCAAGGAAGTCTCAAACCATTGCTTAAGATCCTGTTGTGTTCCCCACCACCCGCAATGCTTAGGTTCTAAATAAAGCAGTTGTTCAAGAAGTGCATCTGTTTACTGGCCACTTGTGCCTGTTTCTCTAAGAATGAAAAATTGGGTTTTGAACCTCAATCTAAAGTTATTATAGTAGGTTATGATTGACCCAAGGGTTTGGATGACAGCGTGAGACATGATCTGGGAAATTTAAAATTTCCTACTCTGTTATCATCAGATTTGTCAGGCAGACAAATGTTCCTTTTTGGTGTCTTTAAGTTCTAGGTGACCAGTGGCCGTAGGTCCCTTGACCTGGTTGTGGTATGTTCTTAGTATGAAGTAGTTGTTTATCTTCCACAAAGTTGTCAGAAGAACTGTTTGAAAATTAAAGGTGTTAAATAATTAGCTCTGAGTATTTTAATTTGAAAATGGAATTCTCCAGCGAATTGGAATTAGCTTCAAAGTAAGATGAGGGGAATAACTAGGTAATTTAAGTCAGTTCATAAAAACACGTATCAAGCCAGAATGTGAGAGTAAAGACCCAAAAAATAGTTTTTTCTCTTTAAAGCAATAATTAAAAATTTTCTTCCTATGATATAAACTAGCTTGCTGAAGTTGTGTTTTCACTGTACTGTTACAACAATCTAGTTCTGTACCAGTTCCTAAGAAAAGCAATGTAGAAACTTTTCGCTTGGTCATGGCCTCTGAAGTCACTCAGTTTTCATGTTGTTTGGGGGAGTAGCATATGCAGCATTTTTGGATAAATAAATTTTGAGGAATGACTGTGCTCTCTAATGGTTTTGCCTTCAGGAGGGGGGGAAGCAAGACTGCTAGTTCCAGAAATGTAACTTCAGGGTTTGGTGAGAGCTAAGTACGGAGCTTGATGACCATCAGAGAGGTCCTGTGCCCCCTCACCTTTCAGCCTGCAGGACAGGGAATGTTCCAGATGCCACCTTTTGTATCTGGGACCGCAGTTGTGCAATGCGTTCCATGGGTTTAAGACGTCTGTTCAGTCTGTCTCACTTCGTTGTCAGGCAGCGAAGCCAGCAATACTGTTTGATTTGGCATTAAAGTTTAGGAAAATTAGAGAAGCCAAAGTAAGGGCTTTTTATTCCCTCAGTTTTGCTTACGATACTTATTTTTTGTGGTTCTCTTGTATTTACAAAAATAGATGGTTCACTTGGTCTTGCAATCAGAAGGTATTCTTTACGTGTAGTGGATTGTGACGTCTGTAGATACGTTGTTTTCTATAAATTGTGCAACCTCGTTTTAGCTGTTAGTACAAAGAGTGAAATCTCCATGCTCCTAGTAATGGATTCCACATTTTCTTGGATTAAAACAGGTATAAATATTCTCATTTTAAGTCTTCCCCCCTCCTCTCCTTTTTTTCTTTTTGCACTTTCTCTGTTTATGCTTTGATAGTTTACTTTGTTAGCTATCATCAACAGACTCCTCCTGAGGCTGTGTTTACAAATACCTGAATAGGCCCATTTAGGATAGGATGGGGAAAAAATCATGTATGTTGGCCCACAGTTCTGAACTGTGCTGTGAAGGGGTCTGTCGTGGTCGGTTCTGGACTGGCATGAGTTGAAACGGCACTGGCATGATATCAGTAGAAATGGATGTTAGATGTCTGTTGCAGAACTTCCATTAGAAAACAAGTTTCCAACTTCCATTTTGGAAGCCCTGCCAGACACGTCTGTATATTCTGCTCGCTTGGGAAAGAGCAGTGACTTAACCAGTCACTGACACAGTTCAGGTACTAGCCAGTTTGAGACTGGTCTCTAATAGAGCTTTTTTTCCTTAATACTCCTCTACAAGATGAAAAAAGGGCACTAAGAAAATATTTTAGAGTAGAAGCAAATTGATCTGGTGCATTGCATTTCACATTTACTGCTCATCTTGCCATACTTATAACCTGACAGTCCTTTCCTGCAAGACGTCTGTGTTTGAGACCTTCTGTCAATACCCTAGATTTTCCCTGTAAGTCATAGTTTGTGCTATTCTGCTGGCCCCAGTGCACATGAAACCTCACTGTGGGGTGTAGGAGGTGGGGCATTTCCACTTTTACTTGCTGTTGGAGTTATTCAGCATAAACTCATTCTCTCATGCACATGTTCCGTTGCCAAGAGCATGCCATTTAAGCGGCTTGCCAATGCAGCTGGTGTCTCGGTGATTTGTTCTCGGTGTGTGTGTCTGTCTGTCGGATCCACAGCTTGTCAAGAACAAAACCCAGCTGACTGCAAGTCGAGGATACATGTTTGTATGTTATGCTGTATTTGACCTAGCTGAGTATTAGGATTTTTCTTTTTCCCAGTAAGCACCTAAAATTACCTTGAAGCATGTTACAGGGTAAATTTAGTTTATATTGACACCTAGAACCTTCATAGATGGGGTACTAGATAGTAAGCTGTAACTCTATTTTCTAACTCATTAGGTAGCAGAAAAAAAAAAAAGAAAATTTGATTAAGTTTTGGGTGGTTTACCCTTGCTACACTTCAAGGAGAGAGTTCTTGCTTCATCTGAAACGACATTCAGATTTACGTTGAGTGCTCCTGAAGGAGGAAGACTTTGGCCAACTGGAGGCCCCTGCCTCCAGTTCAGAAAGCAGCACTCTGCAGCTGCATTCCACTGCAGAAGGCCAAGGTGGTGTGTGGCACATGGATCGCTGTGTGCTGCCTTGCACGGGCTGAAGATGGGAGGCCAAAGAGCTGTTAGGTGGTAACGGAGAGGGGCAGTGTCTGGGCCCGTACATTGCTCTGCATTGGAGCAGTTGACTGTTGAGGTGCATTCTCTACTCCCATCACTGCCTTTTCTCAGCAATTAGTTTCTCTTGGGCTTTTGCAGTGCTCTTAACTTGAAAGTTTTCTCATCTAAAAACCGCAGTCCCAGATTTCTTGAAGCAACTAGAAATTTTCTAGAGACCAAAGATCTGCGAAAGGCATAAGGTAAAGGAGAAAGTTCCCATCTCCATTGTTTTCTTCTAGTTGTCTGCTTTCATCTGACTCAAAACGTCCCAGCTCTCTGTGTAGAAATTGCAAACCAGAATAAACAGAAACGATTGTCTGCTACTGTGCAAAGCGTGATTGGAGTTCAAGCCTGTAAGCGAAGAAGTAGTATTAAGACTGATGCCTGATAAAAGTGCACTCTGTGGGCTTTTCTGCAGCTTTCCAACAAGGTGGTTGTAGGTGAGAATTGCTTTCATCACATAGCTTGCTTTCAGCTGCTTTCCATATAGAAAAAAACCCAAGAGTGTATATAGCTTGTGCATATTTGTGAGTATCTGTGCTTGGTATTCTGCTCTGGTTGCTGGTATTTTACTCCCTGGTTGCAGGGAGTCATCTTAATGTCCCTGGGAGAGGCCTGTTCATATACAAAGTTCTTAAACAGTGACTGACCTTTGTGCAGCTTGGAAATTTGATAAGCTGAAGACATTTGCCCGTTTTTTTGCTGGACCTGGGTTTTGACCTGCGCTGTAAATGTCTCTGGTTTGGGTTTTTTTGTTTGGTTGGTTTGGGGGTGGTTTCGCTTGGTTTTGGTAACACATTTTGACATGACTTTTAGGTGTGCTTTTCCACAGTTAGAA